AGTAAGGCCAGCTCAGGCATGGGGACCTGTGCACTAACCTGATCTCCCATATCGACTTTAAAGTCACTCAGACAATCAATGCATCTTTAATTCAAAATGCTTGGTGGCTAATCTCTTGTTTTCTTTAATTAATGATCTATATTTAACCATTATGAATGGCAAATAGCCTATTTCAGCATTGACAGCAAGATTTCCTATGGGAAAATCTTCTCCTATAGCTTTAATTTAAATATGCACTTTCACATAGCACTTACCAAATCCTTACCTTCATGCTATTCCGTGATTACGGGTCCATTAACTAATCACATTTGACAAGTTGTTTATTGAGGAGAGCAACTATTTTACATCTCTTGCCTGGGAAAGAAAATACTCTAACAAACAATTATTCAGCAGCTGCAATCATGGAACATTGAATTAATTGCTTTGAAGATCACAGTCAAGAAGATCTTGATAAAATCAAAGAAAATGTGGTTTGACAGAATGCATGAATGGAAATGTTGGAGGGGAATCTGGCTTTGTCAGCCACAGCCGTGTTCCAGGGGAGTACAAAATGAGCGTCACACCTCGAGACACGGGCTGGGCAGAGAAGGGAGCTGTGGAAAAGCTTGTTTGCTTTAGTTTGTCAGAAGCAGAATTTATATCTGATTTGATGGCAGGATGCGAATGCTGCTTAAAGCAAACGAGCATGATCAGGCCTTAATATCACTATACAGGCAGATGCAAGGATATTTTATACACGTAAACCTCTGCGGGCTGCTTTTCCTGCCATACTACAAATGAAGTAGGGGTATTGTGAGGCTGGGTGTTTGCAGAGCACTTCAGACTGTTTGCGTTGGAGCGGGACACGAGGCAGAGCAAGCGGTGTGCCTGGGATGTGTTGTGGTTGTGCAGGGATGCTCTGGGTGGACAGGAGGGAGTACGTCTGGCTGCGTGCCCAGGGCACCACCTCTGGCTTGAGCTCTTGAGGGATACTTCTGTGGGAATACGGCCAGAGAAAATAATGGGATTGCTGCCCCAGTTTCACTTAAGTACTGGGATCAGAAGCTCTGATCTCTCTTCAGCTCCTGTGCCTGTGAGGTGACACAGGATAGGTGTTAGCCCGTGTAACTGCTGCTCTTGCGGTGTCTCAGATGAGGCAGGTCCAAACTGCTCCATGGCCGAAAGGAGCCATCCTTTGGCTGCCACATCGCCACACACTTCAGAAGCCAGCTGAGGGTGCAGTATGTTCCTACCAGAAAGGACTGACTCCTACAGGACACCAAAAGGGAAGGAGAGCTCAAATGTTCAAAACTTTTGTTGTAAGGGGCTTCAGAACAGAAGTACGAGGACGGAGCAGGATAATCTTTGAATACTGTCACTACAACAAGCTGAAGAAGTTGCTCAGTAGGCTGAAAGGCAGTGAAAATGTCAGATGGCTTTTCTGAAAATTTCCTGTTTGGGTTGCTGTGGGTCATATGGAACTCATACAGTCATCTTCCAAATCTGCCTTGTTCCTATGTTAAAAATACTTTTATTCAGTTAAGTGCTGTAGAAATGAAAACTTCAACTCTTTCTCCTTATAAAGCTTTCCTCCACCCTGAGTCACTTTTGGAGTCTGAGGAAGGGCAGGGAAGACAGTTGGAGGAAGTTTGAGATGCAAATGGAGCCCAGAGCTGCAGAGCAAGGTAGTAGCCCTAACTTAGAAGCAGCAGTGGCAACAGCAGTCACAGTGTGTAACTCCCACAGCATTCCTCTAACACTGCTTTGTGCTAGCTCTTTCTAGGAAAGAATGAATTTACTTTCTTTTTTTTATTAGTTTGAAATAAGTGGAAAACGCAGGCCTGTTGGACATGGGGTTATGCCGAAATAGTACAGCAGGAGTCCAAATGGGAGAGGAAATCTTTCCATGACCAGTGCCACCAGGAGATAAATAAGCAGTGGGAACCAGGAGGTGAGTGCAGCTGCAGTTCAATGTCCCAGGCCACGAGGGCTGAAGCTCTCAAGTGCTGGGGAAGAGCTGTAGTGGGAGCACTGGCATTCTAGCTGTGCTGCATCAAAGCCTTGCTAATGCAGGGAAATGCTAGCGGTGACAGCGACAGCCCACCCCCAGCCCCTCAGTTACACAGCCACTGCACACTCCCAGCTCAGGAGAGCCTGTGTGCCCGGTGCTGTTTCAGTCCTGGTGACGGAGCATCACGCTGCCACACCAAATGTGGCATCGCTAAGGAGCGCCTCAAAAAGTGCGATGGAAGCTACTGTCATTGTCTCCATTTACAGGAGGAGAATCTGAGGAGCTGTGACCTTGCATTGCTCTTGCTCTATGTGGCCAACTGCCTGAACTGAACAAATACCCTTGGAACTCTGTACTCTGATTCAAGTAAGACTCTTCCTCTTGATTAACCCTTTGGCTGTCTTCAGTGCCTGAATAGCATATAGATGGAGCCTGACAATAATTGGTGGTATTTTTTAATTGCATTTTGCAGGTATAGGTGACAGAATTTGCCCTGCTTAAGGACAAATGTAGAAAAAGGCAAGTAAATAAACTTCAGTCTAGCAGGCTATAAGAGTAACAGTGAACAGTTGTTCTGTTTTATTCCTACAAAAAAAAAAAAAAAAAAAAAAAGTAAATAGTGGGCTATGCATTAGTGCTTGGAAATTAACCAACTTTACTTACCAAGGAATTATACCGTTACTTTAATGGGGAAATAGAAAAGTGTGTGTTGGTCTATAGTGGTAAGTGGCAACAGCAGGCACTGGGATAAAACAGAGTTAGTCTGAAGAAAGCAGACTGGTTTTCATTGAAGAGTAACAGCCAACCAGATATTTTAAAAACTTTCTCATGAGGTCACAAACAAGTTGTCATGTATTAAACACAAAAACTCTTATTAAAATAATGAAAATTACTAAAACCCTTGCACCTCCTCACCAACCAAAGGGATGCTTTGATGCATCCCTTAGGGGCTCTTTCTGCATTGCAAGGGGGAGAACTGCTCTGGGTGCCTGGAGCCAGTGACAGATACGTTGTGACATGACCGATCTGCAGCAAGAGTAGCCAGGGCCCAACAAAGGCCTTAACAGAAAGCCACCCAAAGGTAACTTCTTCATACAAAGGGTGCCGTGCTCTCCAACTGTGAAATTCCTGTTTGAATTGTCCGTCCTGACTCCCTAGGCAAACCTGCAGCACCTAAATTCAGATCAGTGTGAGAAAAGATGTCCACACCATGCTCATTCCCATCCCTTTCTTCTCCACATGATGTGCTTCCTTGGAGAGAAAACATATTCCCATGATATCATCCAAGCAGCTGCATCCAGCACCAGATTTTCCTACCGACCAGATCAGCAGGCTGAGTCTGCCAGTTCTGTACACCAGCTCTCGTGACTCCAGCTGATACATTCACATCATGAGAAGGCCCAGTAAGTTGCTTTCAGTTTATTTTAAATACTCTCAACTCTTGTGTACAGCCGTGAGGGACTAAAGAATAATGATCACGCAAAAACAAAAGAAGTACAGCAGCTGCTACCATCTGAAAAACAAATGTTGTATGGACAAAGCATCTTACGTGTGACAGTTTCGCATTCATATTTTTCCGGCCGTTGAGAAATTTGAAAGTCAGATGTTAAGTTCACTAGAGCAGATCTAGGAAACTCTTTTCTTTCCTAAGGTCTTTATTTAAGAACTATTGATTCCAGCCATAGATCAATGGAAACATTTGTTTTTCACTAAGGTGGAAAGAGCAGCTAAGGCATAGGCAATACATGGAGCTCTTGCAACCCAAGAGTACCCCTCAGCTAAAGTGTATTCAGCTCTGGGCACCAAATAATCAAGATGTGCGTGGAATTTTGAAAGGTGCACTGATCAGAAAATTGAACGTATAACCCAAAGAAAGATGGAAAAGACTGGTGCCATTTGCCTTCAGGGTAAAGAAAACAATGTGAAGTTCTTGATATATTTTGCTACGACCTTCATACCCAGTGATGAAACAAACTCCAACCACAGGTGAGAGATTCTTATTGACTGCCTCTCAGAAGGAAAATGTACAAATGTAAAAGTTTGAAAAGAAAATCCTCTCTTTTTGGTGCTCTCTTGTCCCCACTGTGAAAGTTACAGAAATCTGAAGACAAGCCACAATGGAGTGAAAGATGCTTCACTAGTTATGAATTTTCTCCCTTTGGGAAGGTACATTAAGAACACTTAGAAAGCTTTCTTGATCTAAACATGTTGAAAAATTGCTTCTTCACTATGAAGAGCATTTTAATGTCTCACAAACAGATTTTTCTGTGAATCTATAAATACACATATGGAAGGATCACAATATAACCGTTTGGCACTGGTATGTGAAAAGATCATCTTATCTGATTTTTCTACCATTGCTTAAAGCAAACTGCAGCATTAGCTGTACGACGATCTTCATTAAAACACTCCACAGCATTGGCTTGCCTTGCAATTATCAATCATAGTGTTTTTTTTCACGGATTCATAAATCAGTCAAATAGTCTACAATTAAAACATCTAACAACTCCCTCTATGTTTATTACAGTTCTTTTACGATAATTAAAAGTATACCTCACTTGAGCAGCAGTTAGCTTTAAGCAGGCAGAATTGCTCTGAGCTCTGTCCAGCAAGAACAGGAGTCACTGTAAGACTGCCCAAAGCAAGGGGAAAAAAAAGGATGGTGTTTGTGATGTTGGCAGAGCACACACAGATCTCCTGGATACACTGCACTACTAGTTGAGCAAGTAATACTGCCAAATACTTTCTTCCTTCTGTTAATAAAACCAAGAGCAGTGCTGTTTGCTGCTGCCCCCAGTAGCTGGAGGCCAAGCTCAGTAGTCAGGGTCGGATGCGAGCTCTTTGAAGGTAGTCATAGGTCCTCTGATTGGACAGTAGCCACCAGCCATGGAAAAAAGTTTATGGAATTCTAGGACTGAAGGAAACGACACTGAAACTCTTTTTCTCTAAAAGCATCTTTAATTTCAATCCAAATACAGTACGTTTGCAGCACAACATTAGAATTCCTGTTCCAATATTTCACAATACATTCGTTTCCTGTAATTAATTACAAATCAATTCTGAATACTAGGACAGTATTTTTAAGATACGTAAAAAGTACCATAAAAATAACTACTTATAACCATTACTACAGAAAAAAAAAATACAAATGTAAAAATGTAAACATTTAAGCTAAAGTCTTCAAAATTGCAAGACCAAGTAAACAGCACAAAACACAAAGTACCATCTAAAAAATTGCTAAATCAAGGCCTTGTGCAGGCAGCACTGCAGAAGTTGTTCGTGCTATGTGAAATTCACATTCAAGTTTGGACTAGCTTTTAAACCGTGCTTCCTAACAGAAAGGTTGGCTGTTGTCTTCACTATACTTCAAGGCTGCAATCTCACTATTTAATTGCTTTTAAGCAGAAATTAATTAATTCCAGCAGAGAACAAGCAGGACAAATTTCAGAGCAAGCTTGACGTGTTCTTTACAAAAGCAGCATATCAGTGCAGCTCAGAAGCAGCAAATGAACAAGATGCACAAAGCTACCAGCATCTTTGCTGCACAACAGTAGGCAGGTGGGGCAGTTCACTAGCAGTGCAGTGTCTCTGCAAGAACACTATTTTGCTCCAGACTCCACCACAAGGCAGCAGTGCACTGGTTTGCCTGCACAGCTGTGAGAGGCAAATACCTGGGCTGCAAGGCCAGGAGATGCCACTGGTCTCATGCTGTCCTACCCAGCCTCACCCCAGCTGGAGGCTGCCTGACTTCCCTTCACCCTTTGTGAATTAGTTCCTATTTCAGCACTGTTCGTACATGCTAGTCAAATGACTCAGCTATTGAGTTCTCCTGCTGCATTTTCGCCCTTGTTACAGTCAGGCACACTTGAGGCAAAAAACAATGGAGAAGTTCTAATTCCTGAGCGAGTCTTTTAATGATTAGAAGGGGATGAACGTCTTAGTGAAATATTACAATTTGTCACCGCGTGGAAACGCCAAAAAAAATTTAAGTTTTCCTCACAGATATATCTTGTAATTATACTCCTAGAATTTGCTGGCTTTATTACTTTTATTTATGTTCTTTTGAGTAGACAAAAGCGAGTACAAATCTCTTCACTAGAACTGACTTTATTGTATTGCTGAGATCAACGCTCACTGGTAGCCTGCAGTTTTTAATCAGTGAAAGCAGCCTGCTGAACAGAAGATGAGAAGGCAGTAATAAGAGGCAACACATGAGGGGAAAAAAAAAGAAAAAAGACTTAGTCAGTACAATAAATATTAAAACCTGAAGTCAACTGATGCTTCATAACAGGGATTATATACTGGTTGCTTAAAATAGCAGAAACTACATTCGGTAGCAGAAACATTTCCAGCTGTAGGAGCCTAAACATGTAATTAGTTTAACAAGTCTCAGCAGTGTCATGACATTTCACAGGACTGCAAGAACAATACTGTTGTGCGGAAAGAAGATGATCAGGGTAATTAATGGCCTCGTTTGCTTACGGTGATCAGGGCAATGCAGTGAAATGGATGGTATGAGACTAACTCAAGGATAGAGTGTATGTCAATCGACACAACCTCATGGAGAAGAGGTCTCAGACAACAGGCTGCATTTTTTGCTTTGATCCAGTAAGCTGAGCTTACAAAAACACCTGCACTGAAGTGTTATCCTTAGGATCCCGGGGCACCCGGCGCAAACCAGACGAACATTCATTTCTCTAAAATACCCGTCACAGATAGAGATCAATACAGACTGTTGCGCTGAAAACAGATAACTAATTTCAAAATGCAGTATTCATAGGGAATCAGCAGGATGCATGGAGGCTTGCCCTGAATTTCCGTCTTATTCAGTTTTTAAAGGCTCTTGGAAAAAAGAGACATGAACTCAATGGCCTGTTTGCTTTTCCCCACCCCCACCCATGTCACCGATCTAATAAAAACTTATCACCTCTTTCTACAAACCTTGCCTTGCTTTCAATTTTAAAAATCAATGATCTGGAAGAAACTGTAAAAATCACTTGCAATAAATTTGCAAAGGACATGCAGGCTGCTGGAGTAGTAAAGAATGGGGACAGGTCACTTACACACAGCAATCTGGATCGCTTCATAAGCGGTATTTTAAGGCTGGTAAAATACAGTGTATACCTCCAAGAAAAAATACGTTAGGATAATAAGGGGACGAAGCACCACATTCTAGAAAGAGACTCTGAAGAGGACCTGAGCCGTAAAAGTCAGCATCCAAGGTAATGCTTCTGCAAAAAGAAGGATAATGTGATTTCTGTGGAAATAGGGTAGGGAGGTATTTATCAGAGTAAGAAGATCACACTCTGTCTGTATAGGCCTGCTGGATCACTGTTGACACATAGCATCTCATTCAGAGGTCACACAGAAATATTTAAATATGTGAGAAGTACAGAGAAGAACGTGAAGATGAATTAGTCTTGGATAGCATTCATTTCCATAGGAAAGTTAAGGAATTCAGTATATCTCATCAGAGAAAAGGTTAAAAGGGACATAATCATGATTTATAGCTACACACGAGCAATTAGAAAAGCTGATACTACAGAGATCAATATAAGCAATCAAAGGCATAAAAAGACCAAAATAACTTAAGGTGGAGCTACAAATGCAAATAGAAAAATCAAGTGAAAAACGTACCTGAGGTAATTAACTATTGCAACAGGAGGGATGGGCAAATGCTCGTCACTTGAAGAAGTTAATATTAAATGCCTGCCTAAAATATGTATGTTGTAGTTCAAAACAAAGCTCCTGAATTTAACAGGGAAACTGCTCATTGAAATTCAATGGCCTGTTGAATTAAAAAATGAATTCTCGTTATGTTGTCTTCTTGCCTCGTATATTTAAGAGATTTATTTTGAAATATAGCAACTAATTGGAAGGGGGTTACCACGAAAAAAGATACTCTTTTTTTTCGTAGGAGAGTTACATTTAATGCTAGATTTAAAGCTAAATAATCTGCAGCTGCACCTTTTTTCCCCTATGTTTATTTCTCCCTATTTCTTGTTCAGAATTGCACAGTCCACTTAGTGACTGTCTAATTTACATAATCACATTGTTATTCTTCAGTTTTTCTGTTCCTATTTATAAACCATTCACAAACCATCCACTTAAGTAACAGCACGATTTGTTGTAAGAATTATTACGGCTGTTTCCAAGGGAAAATGGAATGTGATTAAATGAAGAACGAACAATGACATTTCTTAAACAGAGGGTCCTAATCCCACCAAGGGATTTGTAAATGAAACCTGCCCATCAAATTCCATCCCAAACAGCCAATGAACTACTGAGGAAATGCAGCAGATACCTTTACAACTGTATAGCAAGAGCTTAGCAAAAGACAAAAAATAGATAAACAAACTAACCAGCCACGCACACAATACCTTCCAGAGAAATGGTAAAGCTCCCAAAGCCATCTGTACTTTCAAATAAAAAAAAAAAAAAATGAAGTGTATGTATACAGTTGCTGATATGACTCAACACAAGTCTGAATACTAAGGCTCTAGAGGAAAATCTGCAAGCAGACCTTTGCTCCTGGCTGAGTTCCAGCTTCTGAGAGAAACGCATCAAGCAAGGAAAGGGCTGGATATTTAAGCTGTGGATCCAGGAAAAAGGAATCTTTTCTGCATAAATAGATTTTTTGCAGGTGCCACACGAACCATAATAACCCAACCTTCTTATAAAAATGGTGAATGGTGACATAAGAACATCAGAGTTCAATATTTTCAACTGAAGAATTTGTTCTCTTTTTAAAAAATGAGTGGGGAAATAAAAAACCTATTTGTTTACCAGTAATGCCATCACCTTTACAAAAAGCTATCTACAAGGAACAGCTGAGAAGTTCCGTGAAGGAGGAGTGATGCTACAAAGCCTCATTCATCAAAAAGAAAGATTAAAAAAAAAAAATCCCAAATAGGTATTTATAGGCAGTACTGCTTTGACATGTTTGTGTTAGTCCAAAGTAAACCACACTGATGGATTCCATTCTTGTTTGTACGCAGACAGACGCAGTCCATTCAGACGTGCACGCAGCACAGAGGACCACAGAGATCCCGTTAAATTGGTAGAACTGCTTCAGAAACTCATCCAGAGCCATTCAGAAGTGTGCAGTAACTGTTCACAGCACATTATCTTACAAGCAGCAGTTCTTAAACATTGAGGGAGATATGGGAATATTTCAGGTGAAACCAACCACGAAGCACAGGAAAATCAGTTCTGGGAGACTGGTGTTGAATATCTGAAATTCCCTGTTGAATCAGTTTAAGGAGCTGCAGATGGGATCAGCAGAGGGACTGGGAAATGCCCACAGTAAAAGCCCTGCAGCACAGACACTGAGATACCCTGAATACTGACAGTTTTTCAAGGGAAAAGTACTGAAACACTGTTTCAAAAATAGCATCATTATTTGAGATAGAGATAAACCCTTCCCCATTATTTGTGTAATTATTCAGATGTTAGCAATAACAAGTAAATGAATAATGCAGCTAGTAGTAGTGTTCTAGATAAAAGACCAAAAACAGAGAAACAAAACAACAAAGCAACCAAGCAACAAGGCTTTAGCCTCAGTATTTAGAAACTATATGCCAACACCAATTTTCACTCAGAAGTTGCAGTATAAGGCTGAAGAACTTAAAATTCCAGGGAATTTTCTAAGCCAGTAATTAAGTCTGTGGCTGTAACCGTGACCTAGGGTCTAGCGCTTCTGTGACGCATTTCTGCCTAGGGGTTGGTACCGGTTTGGTTTCAGACTCTGTTTTAGTAACCAAAGACATGGGATTCCTATGGTCAGCCAAACTGTTTTTCCTACAAGGACAGATTCTGCGAGGAGCAGCAGTGGGTGCCTGCAATTGTCGTGTTTCCATAGATAACACTGAATCTAAAGAACTGCAAGATGTGCCATCAGGCCTCTCCCAGTTCTCCTTGTCCCGTTCCTCTGCATTCCCACGTGCTTTTGCATTGTACGCTGGTTTATCAGAGGGTGGAGGTGGAGCTCTTCTTTTCTTCCCTCTGCCATCATTAGGACTTGCAGTATGCATATTTTTCTGAACAACCATCTCGTGAGATCCATCAAAGAGTGAAGCCCATAAGGAAGACGCAGGCTCTTTTTGCTGGCAAAGCAGGAACTCACCATCACTCTCTTCAATTTTTCTTTGTGTGATATCAGCTAAGCCCTCATGTTTCACTGGAGAATCAATGCCTGTAATTTTAAGGGACAGCAATTAACTCAGATTAAAATGCTACCCATGACTTTACTCCTCTCTATTTTATTACTGTTCAGAATACAAAGCTGTATTAACCATGTCTCATGAAACCTGGGCTGCTATTAAGCGTATTAATGGAAGAAATGGAAAAGATTACATATGCTTTCAAAAGAGAAAGCTGGGGGACAGGAGAGAACTGTTTTCATGACAGCTGGTATTGAGAGAACAGAGTAGGAATTGATCCTTCTTTCCAAGCAAAAGCTGAAAAAAAATTACAAATATATATAGACATACATACATATATATGCACACACACAGAGACACAATCTTCATAATAGATATATTTTGCTGTACAGCACTTTGAAATTTTCATTTTACACAAGGTGCATGGAAAAATGTATGACTAAATATTCCTGTGCCTCCAGCCTGCAGAAAATTGAACGTCTTTACATATACCATTTTTCTTTATGTGCTTTAAGACTCTTGCCCCATTTCTGATCTCTCATATTGAATTTTCTAGGTAGACCACAATAATGCTAGCCTTTAAAACAGAAGCAATATCTTTTCTATTTCAGGTCGCACGTTAAGGATTTTAAACACAATTTTAAACACAGGATTTTACCTATGAATACTGTCAATAAGCAGAAAAACACTGGTATATTAAGAATGAAGCAGAGTTTGTGTTCTGCTCCACACTGATATATTTGAGCATCAGCAGAATTATACTACAGCATTACCTTCATGGAACTTCTGTATAGTTGATTTACTGCCTTCCCGCTCTGTGTTCACAGCTGAGGTAGTATTGTGACTGCTGGCTGCTCTGATGCACAGGAGCTCGATGACCCACACGGCATTTTGAGCATCTTCACAATTCCAATCTCAAGCAGCAAGCAGTCAGGCATTTATAGCCGCACAGTGTTTTTCAGCCATTACTGCATTAGATCCATTAAAACAGTGACCTACTTTTTCTAGTCGGTAAATATTATTTCTGTAATGAAACTATTAAAATAATCCTGTTGCAAACTATTTTGCTCTGCAAAACTAAGTCTTACATACAATCCAGGTATTTTCTGAGCATATTTTTCAACATTATTAAGAAAAAATAGTAGGTAAGTTAAGTTAGGTAAGCCTTAAAGTAGTGTTAAGAAGAGCAAATTAATTTTTATTTCATTTTTTAATTTTTAAATAATTTAAATTTTTAGATGAGACCATTTTGCCTTTACATTCCTTGTGCTTTATGCTACTCCCACAGCAAGCATTTATTTCTAGTGGTGGCTCTGTTTCTCGTGTTCAGGTCTCCCTATTTACAGTTCAGATCACAGATTTTCTGGTTCAAGGTTAAATAAATAAATAAATAAATAAAATGGTGCAATTACAAATTCAGATTTAACATGAACTCCTTGGTATGCAATTATGTTGCTCTTTCATTGTCTCAATTGCCCTTGAAAAACTCAGCGTTTCAACATCAACACCAGAAGCCATCTCAATGCAGACAATGTTGTTTCTGTTACCCTGCAACTTGAAAAGACAAATCCCACTCACTCATATCATGGTAGACAGAGGTCGCTTCTTTAGTCAAGAACAAAGGTGGTTTCCGTGGTGACATAATCTCAATTTTCATAAGTTCTTCACAACAATGTTTCCACTGGCCTGAGAGAGAAAAGAGAACAGTGATTGGAACTTCAGCACTTCAGCTTGAAAAAACCGAAGTCATTAGTTTCCTAACACAACCCATCTCCAAAGCAATACCAAACAGTAAGCATCTACTTTTACTTAGCAGGAATGCTCAGGATGCATTTTCAGTATTTTCAACTTTTAATTAATTACGACTTTTAGCACAGAAGTTATGAGCTACCACCTTTAATTGAAGCATCCCAACAGTACTGTTATACCACAATGATTAAATATCATAATTTGCCTTCAAACCCCCAACCCAGTATAAATTCACCAGAAAAAAAATCATAACTTATCAACATACTGCAAGCTGGGTGTTACACAACCGCTATAGTAAAGGAACAGTTTTGTCTTTCATAAAGGATAACTCGCCTTTTATCTGCCAGCAGACAAGGAAATCTCTTTTACTATTAATAGATTTTGACCTTAAGGAAAACAAGGCACAGTAAAATTACTTTGTTCATGCCAATCATTCCAAGTTTTCCAAGCACATTAGTTTTAAGAGATTTTTTAGAACCACTGAAGAAAAAAAAAAAAAAGGCATTTAAATGGTAAGTGACCCATTTTTTCTGTACCTAAGGAAAATGTCTTTAAAAAAATCTATGGGTATTCTATCTATAATGAATAAGTAGTAGTTCTTTTACCCCACTCCACAGCTAATTTAAAGAAGATGCCCTAGTTTTTGCTTGGTGTTTTCTGCAATTGATAAAACCTCTTCTTGTAGCTCAGAGAAAAAGGAGTAGAACTACAAACTACAACACCCACATAAGAAAACCTCTGTTCACTGATTTGCTTGGTGTGGCCTCTGATTAAACACTGGCGTTTCATCAATTGAGCTGGTTCTGTTTTCTGCCCTGGTGAAAGCGACTGTCAGGATTCAACTGTATTTTGTCAGTGACAGCATAACAACTGTCAGCTGTTCTCTGCTCCTAGTAAACCTATGAGTCAAACTACTAAAGCAGAGGAAAAAGATGAAGACAAATTAGTCTGTATAGTTTCTATAGTTAATACATGGTGTTAAACAAGAACCATGGTATGCTACCTGAAAACCATTTTGCTGTCTTACACGAGAAGAAACTCGTTTCTTGCTGTAAGAACAGCTTTGTTACAGAGGTTACCAAGGTCATTAAGACAGCTTACTGGAGAAAGTAAAACCCAAGCCAAACTGAAGATCTTCAAACATTTTAACATGGAAAATAAAAAATTCAGGGTATCAATTTACCTCACTTGCATCACGTTACAGCTGTCACCAGTTTCCAGTAGGCAGCGTGTGTTTGCATGGGTAATGGAATGGGGAATGGATGGGACTGTGGGTAGGTGAGCAAATTCCCTTGTGGCAAGGGGTACCATAGCAAAACCTGAGAATTACCAGCAAAATCAATCCTTAACACAGCAAACTGCAACTTAATTAATACATAATACTGCTGGGTAAGGAATATACATGTTTCTACTCGCAAGAACTGGCTGAATCTGAATCCTTGCCAAGGCCCCAGATGGATCCTGCATCTTCACTACTTCCCATTAAGGCTTCCAGGCCCAAAGGTTTCAGTCTTGCAGAATCTCACAAAACCAACAAACCTGATAAGGGTGTGCAGGCAGAAGGAGCCCCACTCAGCTAAGTGGAGGAAGAGGTAGTGAGAGTTTATTAGTCCTTTAAAAATCATCTAGAATGCTGCTAAGAGGTCAAGTTACTTTGGATTTGTGGACACAGTTATTTCTTGTTTCCTGCAAAAAGCCAGACTGAACGTGCGGATATTTGTCTCCCAATAGCTATGACCACCTCCTAATACTATTCCAAAGAACATTTTTCTTCCCATCGTTGCAAACAAAGGATTATGAGGCAATTGTGATTGAAATTGTTCAAAGATTCCTTTGATGTTACATAACATCCTTCAGGAAGGGCGCAATGCTAGCACTGCTTGCTTACTTACTCAGATCATAGAAGTGCTGCAAGAAAGCCTCCATCCACTTCTGAAGCTCTTCCCTACTGTCAGTAGCAAAAAGTTGAGTCGCAGCCTCTCCAGGCAGGGGGTTGATAACAGAAAAGCTATTGGCTCTTCTTTTGGAGTCTTTATCCACAGATTGAATTCTGGTTTCCTAAAAATGACAAACTGTGGTAATGAGTTATTGCCTCAGCTCAACACCTACAAGACTACAGCCAGTGACAGCATAATGGGAGTATAATTTGGCCTTCCTACCTAATTCAGATTAATCTCCAATTAAAAAAAAAAGGGAAAAAGGAACTAAGGTCAGGAATTGCTTATAAAAGTATTTTCTCACACAACAATTTAAATGATACAATATATGAAAAAAAAGAATGGAACAGAATTACTGTAATTACAGAATGTACATTCTGTGATTCCCCTCCCAGTACTTTCACCAGCTGTTCTCATGCATTACTTTTCACAGTTGTTGGGTGAAAAACCTAGAACAATAGCAAGCACCTCTTTTTCTCCAAAATCTTCATCTGCACAATCACTTTTTCACAGTTAGGTCTCCTACTACACATCTTGCAATTTTTTATTCTTATTGAATGTATGTGTTTTACTTGAATTTCAGTGACTCGGAACATTCAGGGCAAAGGCAACTGCAAAAGAAATTTATTCAGATACTCATCATGTCTCCATTTAAAGGAGCACTTGTAGAAGTTGTCAAGAGTGCTAAGAAAGTTCAGGATGGCCGTAAGTTGCACCAGGGGAGGCTCATGTTGGATATGAGGAAAAGTATCTTCTCAGAAAGAAAGAGTGATGCAGTATTGGCACAGGCTGCCCAGAGAGGCAGTGGGCTCACCAGCCCTGAAGGTGTTCAAGAAACTTGTGGAGGTGGCACCTGGGGACGTGGTGGAGATGGGCTCATGGTTGGACTCGATCTTAGAATCATTAAGGTTGGGAAAGGCCTCTATCATTTTAAGCTATTCATACAGTTCCACTGAACAAGTTTCACAAAATGGCCAGGGTTGGAAGGGACCTCCAGGATCATGAACCTCCAACCCCCTGGCCACATGCAGGGCCACCAACCTCCCCACTTAATGCTACACCAGGCTGCCCAGGGCCCCATCCAGCCTGGCCTTGAACACCTCTAAGGACAGGGCATCCAGAGCCTCTCTGGGCAGCCTGTTCCAGCACCTCATCACTCTCTCTGTAAAGAATTTCCCCTTACATCCAACCTAGATCTTCCCTCTCTCAACTTAAAACCATTTCCAACATGAAAAAAAGTTTTGCTGTAATACCAAATATTTGTCATTTCAGAATTTAGTTTTGCCTTATTTAGGGCAATATAAATAATTAAAAACAATGACAAATACAGCATAAATCATTCAGAACTAATAAATCGTTACTTCAAACATTCAACTAATATCAGAAATATGCAGCAGTGCTGTTACAGCCAAGGTTATCCCCTCTGTTCAGGGACATAGTTCAACTGATTTTATCAGCCAGACTACGTACTACAAAAATAAAACTGCATCTGGTTTCTTTGTTATGCCTTTACTACCATAAAAAGTAGCACTTGTCATTGAGTGAAAAAAAAACATAGGTTTCATGCGTAAGACACTGAAAAATTTTAGAAGTCTCACAAAACACAACAGAAGTTTTTTCCAGAAAATAACTAGTCAACACTGCTGTTTGCAACAACACGGTGAACAAATGAGTAATTAACACCACTTTGTTTACAAAAACAGAAGCAGAACGCCCGCAACATCTCTGCACATACACTTCCGCCTGGCCAAGCAAGCAAAGACCTGTTACAACGCTAGCACATCCAGGAGAGCAGCCCAGCCTCGGCCCAAATCTCGATGGGGTGATGAGTTCCTGCACCAAGGAACCAGGCAGCACCTTACTGGCCAGCGCTGGAGCCTGGAAGGAAAGGGAGCTGCCTAACACGCACTGAGAACATGCAGAGGCCTTGTGCCATGCAAGGGTGTCCCCTGGCTTGGGGAGCACTGTGCATTTGGAAGGAAGCTGACAGCTAAAGCCAGCACTGTGTTCAGCAGCTGGGTGGGCAGCAAATCTAATGTCCGAGTAGATTGAGGACACACCTTAAAATACAGTGGGGACAGATCAGCCACTTTCCCTACTACAGCAGCGTTCAACCAGATGTCAGACTTGCACTGCAGATGTCAAATAGAAACCAACAGAAATTAAGTTTACACGTGAGAACCCATGGGGATAGGTCTAGTTCTGATCGTCAGAAAACAAAACTTACTCTCAAGAACATTCCCCAGATTTTCAATGCATTACTTCAGTAACTGTTTGAAATCATAACAGCTGCTTGTAGCATATCTGATGGATATGCTCATTTAAATTCTTCTGTCTAAAAATAGGAGATGAAGTAATTCATCCATAAGTGCTCTATGTCCCATTAACTCAGGTAACCATAGATACCAGCAAAAAATTAAATCAAATAGATTAACATTTGACAGGTAAGAACTTCAAGCATACCATACACACAAGTTTATTTAATGATGTTTGCTCCAGGTTTTATCCCATAACTGCGTTATTATTCAAAGGAGATAAATCCTCAAGCAACAATCTATACCTGATGTTTGAATATTTAAAGAGTGATATGAGGTGCCATTACAGTAATGGGCTGATGAATATGCCAAGCTTGGGAAATTACACCACAAGCCCACTTCGTCTTAAAAATAAAAAAGTAAACTGCCTTAAAGTATCATGTCATACATAGCACTGCTCCGCATTCCTCGATCTCACAGACAGCGGAACCAATTCCATTACCACTCCTGTAAAGGCCAGAACAACCAGCCAGTTGGAGTAAGAAAAACTGAGCTGAGCCCACAGAAACTCAGAAACTTCGGAGAGGCTGAGGGCAGTTGTACATCCTTACTATGTACAAAAGATTAATTTTCTTTGAAGATAAGGAAAATGACTTTTTTCTTTTAGCATAAGGTAAAAATGAGTCTTCACTTACACATCTGTATGGGAACTGCTGAGTCACGGCCAGAACCTCTGATGATCACCTGAGGCGAGCCATGAGCCAGCCATGGGAGCACAGTGAAGGCAATTCAGCTGTGCTGCCGGAAGGGGTGGAGCCTGGCTGCACCTCTCCTAGACCTATTGAAGAGCTGACTGCCAGTGGGGAAGGATCTCTTCTGGAGATCTACTCTGCTGAAGTTTCATAAGTGAGCCCAGGATATGGGTAAGCATCCAGTCTTTTCTGCTTTGGTGTGATAACTGTGTAGCCAAGCTCTCTGGTACGTCCCATAACATTTGTATGTCCATTGATTGTACAATATCTTTCTCCTTCAAATCAAAAAAGGTTTTGCCTGATGAGCTCATCTGCAAAGCTCATCTACTAAGCAGAGTTAAACAAAAACAAAAAAAGAGAGAAGCAGCGTTTTATTGCTGAGGCAGCCCCTTACTGCTGAGCCAGTTCTGAAGCACTGAGGAGCAGAGTTTGTAAAGATCATTTTAAGACATCAATACAAATTGAAGTTCTTGAGAAAAATATTGAGAAGTCAAAAATTCAGTTCTGTGTATCTGTTCTAAGATGAAACAAACCAAATTGCATATAACAGTCTTCCTTTGTGATTTTAGTACCAAGAAACAAGGCAAGAAATAAAAGCAACATTGGAAACAAAATACAATTGTTGGCTCCTACTGTAATTTGTTTTAAGGCAAACAGGAATGTTTGATGAATGTAAAACTATGGCTTTTTAAAATATTAGTGCAAGTCTGAATCTACCATGTTAGCTACGTTTCCTCCTTTCATCTCCATTGTTCTGTGAGCTTGTATCACCATAACATTCATGCGCTTGCAGGATGATAAGCATAATATGGAAGAGTAACGTTAGGATCACTGCGTCATCATGGCTGTCTTCAATTCAGTGCAGCAACTTAAAGGCAGGATAAGGAGGTGATGTTATTGTATGACCAACCAGCACTCTGAGGAGCACCAGGGAGCTATAAAGCATAGCTTCCTAGTGACTCCATTTGAGCACGTGTGTTACAAGGTCCACGTGTTCTATCCAGGCACTGTGTCTGCTTTCCCTACCCGTACCCACCATCTTTTTCAAGCAATTGCAGAAGCAAGTTGAGCAACGCGACAGAAGATGCCAGATATCTGGAGACATTTAACTAATTTTTGATTTCCCTATAAATTTTCACCTGTGAAGGCTCATCTAAACCAGCCAGTGGGACGTAAGTACACTACACAGAGCACTGATTTTCAGGTCTGCTCTTGCTTCACCAGTGCTGGAGTTGCCTGACAGAGGTAGTGAGTATTGCTTGCATTGCATGTTCCCTAAGTGTTCACAATGCCATGAACTTGATACCCTCTGTTCCAGTCTCAAGATAAACTTCCCAGTTTCCCAAAAATACTGCAAGATCCCCTGTGAAGTTATGCCGCCGGAGCCATCGCTACATTTTCCAATGAATTTCTCTACCTGACCTAGAGCCCAAAACATGTTCCAACAAGAACTTAGCAACCGAAGGCTGCAGACATTTGTTCCTCATCCTGCTTGCCACCACAGCGAGTACCAGCACAGCGATAGCTCTGCGCCTGCTGCGCCGCATGGCACCAGGCCAAAGATCGTGCTGGCAAAATTCGCCAGGAAGGAAATCATGTCAGCTATGTTCTGTGTTAACCAGAAGCCATGTCCCAGAATTCCTGAAGCTTCCCGCATGCAATGCACACAGAAAGTTCTATAATTTAGAAGAGGATACAATAGGGTATGTATGTATTCAGGATTCTGAGCAATAAGTGTGAAGTGCTGGCACACACACCAATTACCAGGTGTAGGCAAAGCCTTTATCATTCACTTCAAAGCAAAGCAAACAAAGAAACAGAAAGAAAACATTAGGAATTGGTCCATTAGGAATATTCCTTGTTCAAGTTGGATTCCAGCTAATTTTCTTTGCTCGAGAAAATACAATTTCTCTACTTAGTTGTGCAATATAATATGTTATAATCACACTTAGCTGGAACAATAATAGTAACACTTGCATAATAGGAACTGCAGAACTATTATTGCTCAACAGTGGTAGCAGTGAAGGCATTTGAAGTTAAAGTAATGACTCTGGTGGTCTTAATAGCTTCTTCAAGTCTCAATTCAAAGGAAAGGGAAATAAGACTATCAGTATGATTATTTTCCAGAGTTCCTCATAAATCCATATGACTTCATTACTTTCCAGAAAGTCTCTTTCAATGACATGGAGAGGATCAGCTTCACATTACAAGCAACAATACCAGATGCAACCAGAAGAGATTTTAGTTAGAACATCTAGAGTTAATTTTCAATCTCAACTTTGATTTTGAAATTGCTGTTTCAGTAACAACATGTAGCAGTAAGCCCATATGATTAGCTCATTTTCATTTATGTCACAAGTTTCACAACAAACGAATCAGAAAGTCCACAGCCGTTACATTATTTTCAAGAGAAACTGTTTAAATAGTAAAGTATTCAAATATGTTTTAAATTGCTTTGTTTTCTTTCTGGCTTTAATTTGAATTAAAGAAGGATTCATGGTCGTATTTTCCAACAGCTTGGTACTTTGGCAAAATGGTGTAATACACATGATTTATGTACATTGTGTACGTTACCTGTAAAGGTAAACTGCCAACATACAGACAGACTCACATTAAAAGCTGGATTTTAGATTCTAAGTGTGCTGGTAACTCAGAGAAGTAAAACCCCTTAGGAGAATATGGTTATTTGAAAAGGAGAAGCAAAGTAAGGATACAGACCAAAACAGCAACCCCTAAGGAAAGAACAGACAGAGATTCTGACAGACAATTTTCAAAAATACTTCCTTCACATTTTAAAATACGGATGTGGTCACTCTGTGTTTCACTGAACCTGACCATTTCCCCACAGATATTGTGAACAACTGGAAAATACAGTTTCATTGCAGTTCAGTTGACGCAATTAGAAGTGACTGAAGAGGTGTACAACTAAAATTGTTTAAGTATGTATCACGTCAAAACATTTTTTTACAAGTAAATAAGTAAACTGGAAGAAAAAAAAATGGCTTCGTTAGAATACAAGACACTGGGAGAAGTGTGTTTTTAATTAAGGTATCAATTTAAATCTTAGCACGTGAAATGTTAGCGCACGAAAGCAGGTTACCTTGTTATCTCTAGCTTAAATGTTTTGTTTATATACAAGAAGAATTACTCAAGGTGAAAATGAATCATATTTTTGAGAAACTTTAAAGCCAACAAGAGCTGATAGTGCTGTTGTCAGAAGCAGCTCTTCGTTGCTTTATGGCCCTATACAGCACTGGTCTCGCCCTAGCTCCTTCCTTGTACCATACGAGCACTCATGTGATCATGTAGGGATCTAGATAAAAGACTGCGTTAAGGAGAAGCATGGTTGAAGCCAGCCGTCCTCCTCCCCCCAGGATAAGCTAATTTTAACTCACTTCAGTTCCCTAGTCCAGCTTATCAGTCAGCTGCCCTACTGCCTGCCCAGCACGAAGCACACAGCGGCCAGAGGAAGCGACTGGCTGGGGGGAATGCTTCTTTTCGAGCCAGTGCTGGCATCAAGCAGCCACAGAAGTGCAACACCAGAATCCAGACCAATCCATTCTTAACACAGTTTCCAAATGTTTCTGCTTAGGAAAGATGAACCCAGCTAGGCCAACTGCAAACAACATTAAATTCCTCTGCTCATCCTTATGTGACACTAACTCTTGATGACTGCACAGAAACAGCTTTTAAAAGCACCTGTTCACTCTAATGCTCTTCATTCTAGAAGGTCCTTCCAATAACATCCATAAAGTGAACACATAAATAGTTGTTTAAAATTAAATACTTAATGCATCTTTAGTCAAGTAGAAGAATTTCGATGTTAAGGTTTAAATCCAGACTTTGCCTATTAGACTATGAAAAACAGAAGTAATACCATCATAGAGAACAGAACTTCCAAAGTTATGTGCCCTGTACAAAACCAGTATTAAGAAAAGCAGCTTATTTTAAGACACTAAAATATTTTGAGCAATTTTCCAATCCTCCCTCTAATTAAGACTGGGGCAGAATAAAATAAAACAACAAAAAGCTTTTGTTAAAATTTCACCTTGCTGAGGACAAAAGCCTCCCAGAATGTTGCTGAAGGACTGCAGGGAACGGAACAGTCATATAACAAGTCACATTTTTCCTAAAGAAAACAACATCCTTTTTACCTGTATGTTAACCAGTTTAGTGCAACAGAAGAAACTTACATCTGCTGCTAAGAAATGTAACACCCTTGCAAAGAAATTTCAGTGACTGGAAATTTTGCTGCAGCATTTCCCACTGACACACTACCTACAGAGCTTTTTGCATACAAGCAGCTTAGAGCCCAAATGTATGCATCTTAAAACAAAAATAACCTCCCTCGGAATAATAATTAAGAGCAAAAACAAACACCCAAACACAAGCAAGCAGAAAAAGCTACACATTATCATTTTTACCTTATTGATCGAAACTCTCAGGGCTGGCTCCACTTTAGCCTCAATTTCTTCTGGTGAGTGATAGCAAGAGAGCTTTCCACCTCTCAGTACGCAATACAGCCTCCTCCAGCTGGTTAGATTTCCTATCATTTGCTAAAGGGAAGAAGTAGTCAGAAATTGCCAGACACAAACTACAAATTAAGAGCACACTGTGAGGCATACACCAATCAGCCCGCGTGATCAAAACTTCTCCACACTGAATCAATTCTTTCCTAAAAGAAAGAGCTTCTGTTGCAGAGCACTTCAGAATCAGTGTTTTTTGAAATGTTACCAATACTTCTAAATGTCTTTTGGCATTTTACAGTTTTCCCAGATTCCCTTATGACCCAACACAGAATCTGCCGTTTCACACAGAACAAAGCGTAGAACAATGTGTCTACAATAAGGACAAAGCCCACCTTTATTTGCTACGTTAATTAAACAACAGAAGAAATAAAAAGAGTATTTAACATTGGAAGCATGTGGTACATTCAAAGATGTTCTTAAAATAATTTTCTGAACAGCATTCATAAATACATTTTAATTTCATTATGTGACCAGAGCCTACAACGTGGCACTCCTGTCTGGTGGCCTTCAGCCCTCTGCTCACACCTTCTTGTTTGCCTAGTTGTGCAATGAATCAGAACAGAGAAGTAAAGTGAGCTCACAGTAATTGCTTTTGGAGGGATGAGTTTAACTGCTGCTCCCCGCTCAGTTCACCATGCTAAGACAGTGAGTGACACGCATGAGGGTAAAAGCCAAGAGACCGTCAGGACTGCTGCTATTAAGTGCCAGGCTAAACAGATTCTGAAACAACTCAACCTGTATCTAGCAGCCCAAATAGTTTTATTGATAAGCACACCAAGAAAACATTGATTTATCGATTCTTAGCCACTGACGATGCTGTTTGTAAACTGTAACTATGAGATGTCCTCCCTCGCTCTAGGCAGAACAGGGAAGAAGGAACCACTCTGGGAAAAACAGAAATGTTTTAACCGTGGACTGTTGGTGACTGCTACCAGAAGAGCATGGAAACACAAGCAAGACCTTTTTTTACCTGTTGATTCAGAAATCCTGTCATCATATCTCTAGCCATGCAGGAAGGCTGAGCAACTAAACGGCAGCACATGTTTCCATACAGGGGGAGCCAAAAAGAAGATTCCTCTGGGGGAAAGGAGCAGACAGAAGAAAAAAGAAAAAATAAGAAAGAAAGAAAGAGGTAAAAAAAAAAAAAAAAAAAAAAGAAGAGTATTCAGTATTCAGAGTTCTGAATACTTCCCATAAATACAGTTTAGCTTTTAATACTCATCTTTACTTTCAGATCATGAATATGAGTAAGCATTCTTTACATGTAAGAAAAGAGATCTCATCCTGTAGGATTAAAGTAAAACTGATTCTTAGTCTTCAGTAAGTTTTTTATTAAAAATTATCAGAAGTTCTAAAAGGATTTAAATAAAAACAGAAATACTGTTCTGCAAGAACAAGTTATTCTTACAACAACAACAACAACACCTCTACACCACTTTGGAAGATAATCACTTTGGTACCTCATCTAAGTAGGATTCCTAAGCACTTCCCATCACGGCACGTGACTTCTTACATGTAAGCATTTTGCTTCAGATTGGTTTTTAAGACAGAATTTGTAGCTGTCTTGTCATGCAACTAGAAAAGCATTCATGATTCCAAGGAATTAGCAAAAAACTGCTCAGCTTCGCCATGTAAAAAACATGCTCTTCTGTAATTAGAAGCAGGTAATGCAACTTTCCATTGACATTACTCTGTCTTTAGTCATGGTTTAGAAATGCTTGTAATGAAACAAAATATCCAGGTATGTAATTCCTCACCAGAGTGAGTTATGCACATTAATGAAATAAAACAAGAATGTGAAGTAGAAATTAGCATCAAAGATACACAGAATTATTCTAACCTGTTGAGAAACAAATGCTCCGTCTGTGCTTATTCAGAATAATGAAGTGTAAATAATCAAATTTTCTTTTCAGGTCAAGTTTACCCATGTAAAAAAAATGAAGTTACCAGAAGTGAGTGAAATACAAAGTTACACATCTTAATTTAACGAGGAGGACTGAAGGGTGGATTGCAGGAAGGACGATAGTTTTGGAAACATGGATGAAGTACAAAGAACTGTACTTCAGTTTCTTGAAATATCACCTACAGTTGCAGCATAATCACCAAGCTGGCATTCTGGTTGACTACTACCAGCAACCTGTGTGTCCCACAGCTGAAATACAGCTATCAAGGCAAATCACAAGTGCACGTTTTTGTCCTGTGTCCCACTCAAATTAAGTTGCTTTTTTTTAAATACACTTTTGTCTCAACTACAGAGGAAAAAGCTGTTCTTTGCTCCAATACCCTCCCTTAGTTGTGAGAAAGGGGGAAATAGTTTGTATACATGGGTACAACTCACTTCAGATCAAGATGCAAATAACAGAAGAAACTCCCAAATGAATTAAATTTTCCTCTGGACTTGAAATTGTACTCAACTTATAGTTTACTCAGCTGTGTATAGATGCTTGTTTTAGAACAGTTAAATATTTTGTTTAAGTTGTTCTATATTAAGTATCAAGAAAAATAATCTCTTTAAATTCTTTAGTTTACAAGAGAAATGCAAAATATTACTGGGTTTTTATTTCCTTAAATTGCTACCATATGTACTTACCATTTCCTGTAATGGTAAGGTTGTGGGTCCTGAAACTGTCCTTGGCACTCTCCAGCCCCAAAGTGGTATATGCTAGCAAACTGTACTTTGCTCCACTAAATGTGGGAAAAAAAGGCACGTTTTAAGTCATTTCTGCTTTGTATTGTATAGACAGTAACTAGAGGGAGCCTATGGATGCCCGAGATAACACATCTGCTTACAGGGACATGCCGAGATGCAAGGCAGCAGCTGTCCAGGGCCACAGGCTGCCACCCCCAGCCCCTTCCCACAGAACTGCTCCCCAGCATGCTCAGCTGATGGCCACATCCTCACCTCCTGCCTCTGCCCCGCACAGCACCTCCGGTTCCTCCCACCCCGTGACTTCCAGGCCAACGCCACAGAGCCCCATCAGCACAGAGCCTCCAGCTGCCTATCTGCACTGGCAACCCCAGACACAAGGCCTGTGCTTTCCAAGCCTCCTGCAGCCCAAGGACACTAACAGCATCTCTCTTCTCTACTCAGACACCAAGGAACTTCTGATAGGTTTGCAGCTTTTGACCCTAGGCCTAACTCAGAAATGAGTGCAAAAATGTATCCTATAGGCAACAGAAAAACAGGTGATGAACTTGCTCTGAAAACACAAGTTTCACAATTAAAATCTATACTGCTTTTCCAGGCTGCTCTGCTCTTTTGCCTTGGCTGTAGACTTCATAAAAGTGGTTATGCACACACTTATACAGAATAGTATCCAATAGTTTGTTTCTTTGCGTGTAGCAGAAGAAATCTGTAGAAATCCTACAGCCAGTTTTGCGGCACAAAGGACTCTTTCACTTATTGTGCTTACAGGTATCACAGCGTTGTATCTTTGGTTTAGATTTTGCCTAGGGGGGAAAAAAAGCTGGGAAAAAAAAAATCACATTTGCAATTCAGCACAGTGCATGTGGAATGCAGCTCTTGGAATAAACTAGTATAAATGTGGTACATGTTTAACCTTTTTCCCCAAATACTCTTAATACAAAGTAACAGATTTACAGTCTAGCAATGCAGTAAGAATTCCACCTGGCTAATGGCAGTGTAAAAAAAGTTCACACAAAAACAAACCACTTAGAATCACTAATTGCTTTCTCTAACAGAATTGAGCATAAAATCCTTTAAAAACCTTCTGTATAGCATAAGATATCTTAGTGGTATAGAAGACGTTAAGACACTACTGAACTGACATCACTAGAAAATAAATACTAATACTTTCCAGTGTTAATTTTTCTAATAGCAGAGGGCACACAGTTTTAAAATCAGATGCTATCCAGCTCTGACCCTAATGAAAGAGAGGAGACAGAAGATTAGCAGGGAGTTCTGTTACACATCTAATTCAAAGCAATAAATAGAAAAGCAAATATGATATAGCACTTTGGGCAAAGAACCACTTCCATAAAACATTCAGAGGGGAATGCGAACAAAAACTCATCAACATTTGTATATATTCCCTGTAGACCATTCCCTAACAAAAGATTCCCTGCTGATTATGTTTTGCTATTCAGTTAAGCATTACCACTCTATTTAAATGGTACAAAGTAGTTCAGTTTCTTCTCACGGATAAAACTTCTGTGCTGATTTAGTTATTTTTCTAAAGCATGACTAATTACCACAACAACCTTGCCAAGAAAACAGCTACTTCACTTTTAAAATATGCTTCCCAGTAATACTTTCTTTCTAAAACAGAACAGTCATCCCTTTTAGCCAACTTCAATATAATTTAGAAAAGTTATCTGCATCTATATTTTATATTTAACAAGCTGATCAGGATTACTGAGTATGTTTTGCCCGTACATGTGACAGAATTAGCTGACTGCCTTACATGGCAGCTTGTCTGAATAACAAAGAACAATCTGCCCACTGCATCTCATACAGCATGGGGAAGGCTCACAGTGCGACCTGTCGCCCATCGAGTGGCAGGAGCACTGACGTTGGAGTGCAGACACTGGGGGGAATGTAACTATCTCACCCCTCCTATCAATGCATATTGGATTCATACAGCTCAGATTCCAGAAGCTGCTCCTGAATATTAATGTTAGAAATCCTATCTTATTCCACTCATCCAGACACAGAGCGGAGGTTGTGCAAGTCAAAACAGCCAATATGCGTAGCTTCCAGTTGCATCTTATATAACAAAAGGTAAAAACAAAAATAATCATCAGGTCCTAAAAAGAACCCAGCAATAAAAACGAGGCCATTAGATTAGAATATGTACTTCTAGCAAAATATCAATGTGAATTTCCAAACATAGCATACAGAAGCCAGATCTCCAGCTCAGCAGAGGCCCCAGCAGCAAGTCCCCACATAGGCCAGTACTGCCAGCTCACAGAACGTGCACGTCTCCAAAGTGCAACTTCTGGAAATCAGTACCATACCTGCACTGAATGTCCTTCTCCTATGACAAATGCAATAATAATAATAACAGAAAAAATGAAGTAGGCAAAAGACTGCATAAAAAATGAAAAAAGATAATTAAGAGCAGACAGAGTATCAGTACAGCTGATATGAACAAATAAAGCAACCATCTAAAACAGTTTGTCATCAAGCTTTTATGAGAAGTTACGAGGCTGACAGGGAGCCTTCTAACTTCTAAGCTAAGAAATTTGGCACGGGAGGATCACAGAATTTCTGGAAAAGGGACAACTTCATCCCACGTGTGCTCTGAGAGGAAACAGCTGATACAGATGAAATCTACAGAGCAAAAGTCTTCATAAAATACAGCAAGTTCCCTTTTTATTGTTGTGGTTTAATTTCACAGACTGGACCCGTATAATTCTTTGAGAACTTGAAAGATGCAATCTGCTCACCTCTAAGGGCTACATTACCATGGTCTTAATAATATAAATCTCAAGGGGAGGCTATATTAAAAAAAAAAAAAAAAAAAAAAGTCAACTTATTTTCAGCCTGTAGTAAGACATTTGTTCCCAATAATCTTTTTTAATCACCTAGCAAAGCCATTAGTAAACACATCACTAGTAATTCAATTTTGGTAAGAAATTAACAGCCACGGTGAGATGATGACTTATGGTAGGGAAAAAAAAAAAATTACTTTCAAGATGGGAGAAAGTAAAATACAAAAAATTACAGTTGAGAAACCTAAAGCAAAACCCAAATGAGGGAGGGGGCAATAGTGAGGACTGCCTACTGATTCTTTTTCCTTAAAAGACAGATGATCTGTATTCAAGTGAGTACGGCCAACAAATAAGCCTGTGGTTGTATCTGAAGCCAACTGCACCTTATGGCAGCATGTCATCAGCCAGCCAGAGCTTGAGGGAAGCATATCTACCTGACATGATGCATATTGAGAAACTCTGTCATGAGGTGGAAGGTACTCTAATGTTAGCTGTAAAACTGCCTTGCTCTGTGGCTAAGACATCTTGGATGTCTGCTTCTCATCAGAACACTAATATTAGCGTATAGCAATATTAGCTCAACATAGATAAACTATGAATTAACCTTCCCTTTTATAATCCGGGCAAACAGATGTACAAAACAAGACTAAGACTTTTCCTCAAAATGTGGCAAAAATTATACGTGGATTCTCTGCTACTGAGCCATCAGGAAAAAAAAAAAAAAAAGAAAAGAAAAAAGCAATATTTGAAGTAATTTAAGTAATATTTACTTTCTTAAAAAAATAAACATTAAAAAAGTCAATTTTGCAGTAGTTACAATTTAGGTACTTGGGCTGCTTAAGTCACAATGAAATTAAAGTAGTTGGGAAATATTAGTAGGCAGATCACTTCATTAAAAATACATGAAAGACTTAAGATCATTTTTAAAAGGAAACACAGGTGAATTACTGAGAAAAGCATTTATTTCTATGAAAATGGAAAATCGTAAGTCATTTCAAAATGTTCTGTGCTGAAGTCAATTAAGGAAACTCCTGTTAAGCAGCAAGTAATTGTAAAATGCCCCAGCCAGCCCAGAGACTTGCTGAAAAGCCAGAAAACAGAACAGCCCCTGTGTACACAACACAGCGCAACAGCCCTATCAGCTTCACTAGGGGAAGTGCTGTATGAGGGGCTTCCCCTGCCCACACACGTTTGTTACTTCACAGAACCTGCACCTTTTAGAAATGTCTACCATTCTGAAAAGCAAAACTGCCTGGGTGCAAAACTGATACATGGAGTGAACGGGACAGGGGAAGAGGAGGGCGAGATGAAGGGCCACAGACATCACACAAGCTTGATTTTCTCCAGAGATCAAACTGAAGTACTCCTGAGTTGCAAATAACAGTGGATTTACCAGCTGTGCAGAAGAAAGATAGTCTACTCATGTGTTTAAAGATCAGAACTGGGCCCCAGGCTGAGCTACATAGCTGGAATTCACACCTACTTTCTCATTTCCTATTTAAAATGTAAATTCTTTTCCACCTGGTTAATACATAAATAATCGCGTTCTTGGTACCTTTCCAAATATTGACAATGTCTTTGGGCTATTTCTATGAAAAAGTACAGTAAAACCAGAATACCCATCTGTGTATCTTACTGGATGACTGGGTCAGAGAGCAAAATGGAGTCAGTGCCGTCTTCTTCCAGCGTAGCTTTGAGTTTCTTCCCTGTAGCTTTGCTGAGGGATGTTTTAAGCTTCTTTACTAGTTTCTTAGGGGTGTTTGCTACATATAAAGACTCCTCTGTACAGCAACTATACACTTCAACCTTCACCTGGAAATCTGGTCCTGCTTCATCACTGAAGGGGGTGGGGAGAAAGTTTCACAGCAGTTGTTAGTGAATTGAGCACCTAGCCAAGGAATGCTGTTGCTACAATATATTTATTAAATAACATGTATTGCTAATCAAGGGAAGGAATTACATCAGATTCAGGGAAAGACATACATTAAAATGGAGTTAAAGGCTAGAGTACACAGTGGTAATTTAGCGTTGAAGTCACAAGATGGATGTTATAATTAAACCATAAACAATTGCAAACAGGAAATTCAACGTTTAGGTTAAAAACTGGAGAAAAAACCCACACCGCTCATGTGATGGAAATACACAGGCAAGACATATAAGCACACTTCAATCTGCCCTCTACTGTTACGCAGAAATAACACGACTGAAAACCTATCATGCCTGTGATCCCAAATCAGATCGAACTGTCGCGCCCGCCCCCTTTGTATTAGCAGAAAACTAAATCCTACCTCATCACAAGCAACAAATTTGATATTCACAGTATCTGTCTATCTGCTGCTGCGTTCTTCTGCCCACTCCCTGTTGTCTCTTTTCAGTTCTACCAGCTCTCAACGTTCTCGAGCTGAGTCATCAAACTAGAAGCCTAACCTCATCTTCCTGGTACAAATCCTTCACTACATATTCATAAGGAAATTATCCCAAAGGCTTTTAAAGAATTTATTCTTTATCTGTGGGCACACAAGGGAATTTTGAGTGCTTCTGCTGCATTATTTTACAGAAAATTGTGATGGTAAATTCTCCAAGAACAGATGTATCTTTCAAGAAGCAGATTTAAATTCTTGCCCTTACTCCAAACTTGAGCAAGTGTTAAGAAAGTTTGATTTACAGATCCATGCTCTCTCAACGACTAACTTTTTAAGATCTTGATTTAAAGTTTTCAGTAGTTCTAGATTTCCAGTCAGTCTTCCTCAGGAGACTGAATCTAAATTGCTAATATAAAAATAAAGCAGCACACACACACACACATAAAAAAAACAACCAACACAACCCTCACAGAAATAATAAAGTGTCTCTCAAGACTCTTAAAAATTTATAGAGCAACAGAAAAGTATATGTGAACACCTTTCTATTCTTTTCTAGGTTATATTTAAAGATAAGTGAATAATTTCCTGTCTAGTATTCTTCAACTATGAGGGTTGTAGCTGTAGCATATGCTCATAAGAGCATAACAGAACATGAGGTGTGGAAGACAAATGTCTGATTTCAAGAGAACAGTGACTTTGGGGAACATCAGAAGAGACCATAGCCTGCTCTACAGAGTAATGGTTAAAACACTGGGTGTAACACCCATGCCTACAGAAGTGCATTTTTATAGTGCTTCCAGGTTTTAGCACTGGTGTACTTTTGTCCTTGAGTTACAAGCTGATCTCTTTATTTAAAGAAAAATGTTTCAGCATGGCAAAAAAAACCTGAAAGAAACAGTTAAATGATGTATCTACCGCTGTGATCATCGTGCACATGAATAAAACCCACAACCTTCCAGAGAGAGGGATCCACCAACCACTGAAATCAACAGAAATGTTACAGATTCCTCTTGCCCACAGAAAAATTTAGAGGACCTCAGCCAATCATACTCATAATCATACCCACTTTCAAAAGAAAATAGGGATACTTGTACTCCATGCAACAGATAAGTTATACTCACAATATGGTTACGTTTTCAAAACAGATATCTGTTATTGCTTTATCCACAATTGCCACCTCTGTATCAAAAACCTCAGCTCCCATTCTGAACAAACAAAACACTGCATAGCGCTGTGATTCTGGGGAGAGCCAAAGAAATGCTTTATTAGCATATTACACATCACAATACTTAATGCCCCCAGTAAACAACAGAGAAGGAATGGAAATTTGAGCCTCTAAGGAACTGCCCTCAAATTATTCCCACCCTAAATTTCACATTATGGGATTTCACAGCAATTGAACTTCCAAAGCTAGTGCATGGGTTCGACATTCACACACCTACCTCCGCTCACTTTTTTTTTTTTGCAAGATAACCTGTGGCAGTTCGTGCTAACAGCATCAGAAATGTTAGTAGAAATGTAATTTTGTTTAATAAAATTGATTTAAGGCAAAAAGAGAATTGATCCAACATCTGTATCACTTTTTGAATGAACTATATAGGATTAGACCATTTTGCCAGCCTTACCCCCTCTGACCCTATTGAAAATCAAACTGAAATCAATGCCAGGTGACAGCTGGAACAGATTTAGGGTTAATCTCCATGACACAGCAAAATGCATGTACTTGAAGACTATCCAATAATCCACTCAAAAGCAATAGAGAACTTTCATTTAAATTTCCCACTAGAAACAGCCTTCAATATTACTCTCTTGAGTGTAGACGAGAGAGAGAATATCATGTTTAATTGGAAGTTTCTCAGCTATTTAGTTAATAATGTTATCCTTACTCTTCCTCTGGAGGCTCACCTCTGGAAAGACAAGATTTTAAACATACTGCCATATGACTTAGAACTTTTTCAACTTGCTACAGTCAACAGCTTCAAGTTAAGAGCTACCAAGCTACAGTAAGACACAGATCTACTGAAAGATCAAAAAAAATCAGATTTAGATCAGAATGGACTTCTCCATCCAGTTTTCAATTTACAGGCTTAACTAATTGATTATCATAGCAGTTCATTAGATCTTACGTACTTTCTTTATTGTTGAAGTGATCAGAGCCTTTCCACATTAATGGTATTCGAATATCTAAAGGGGGAAAAAACAGGGAAATTAAGTTACAGGTAATATCATACAACAGAGTGTAAAATTAAATACAAATTATTTTTTCTTTTCATGTTGATCTGGTGGCAATAGGGCTGTCTACACAATGAACAGTAGAACTATTTCAGTTTTATTATCAATGTCATATACATCAATAATTTCTATTTGAAATGTCATTTTCTTTTATAAATTGTGCTAGAACAAAGACTTCTTTAAATCTCATTTGAAAGGACCTAAAAGTAACATTTCAGAGTGGCTGTTTAGCATAGTTATGAGAGGTATTTTAGTCCACGATCACGCAAAGACAAGCTGAAACTCTGCTCATCTGGTGCTGGAAACCACTCATCCAACTGCCAGAAGAAAAACTTCCTGTTTTAATGGAAAGATTGAGATACTTGTATTGCAAACACTGAAGTCTTGTTTTACTAACCACAGAGAAAATATTATTTGTAATCATGTTCCTAGTTAGAATTGTCTCAGTTGACATTAGAAGACTGCAGTTTGTTTGCTTACATAAAAAATATCTGTCTGCATCAGGATCGTAGTAGAGAGGCAATTACAGAAACATTAATTTAAGTCACCTGCCATTTTAACATTAGGAAAGTATCTTCTTCAACAAGCTTTCCACTTTACCTACCCACTCCTGTACAGAATGGTTTTAAACTGAGACTGAGGGGAGGTTTAGGTTAGATATTAGGAGGAAGTTTTTCACCCAGAGGGTGGTGACACACTGGAACAGGTTGCCCAAGGAGGCTGTGGATGCCCCATCCCTGCAGGCATTCAAGGCCAGGCTGGATGTGGCTCTGGGCAGCCTGGTCTGGTGGTTGGTGGCCCTGCACATAGCAGGGAGGTTCAAACCAGATGACCACGGTGGTCCTTTTCAGCCCAGGCCATTCTATGATTCTATGATATTTTTTCCCAGCTTTGAGGGCACAAGTTTAGACAACGTTCCTTACTGGTTCCTTCTTGAAAGATAAATGCAGTGAGGCCTCATTAAATCCAAAGCTGGTTTCAAATGCACAATGCTGTATAAAAGCACATGCAATATATTAAGTGACACAGGATGGCAGCAGTGAACAGCAATACCTCAGTTGTCCACTGATAAAAATCTTTAATATTGTTATGCGGGAGCTTTGCTGACTCCTGTGTTTATCTTCACAGAAGGCGAATGGAAAAATCCACATACAGTATGCAAAACAGCAGTGCTATTTTGGCAACGGATTATTTGCCAGGTATTCCTGCTGGGTTTTATGCACACAACTAGTTGACTTAAGTAAAGCTACATATAGTCCTATTTCATAAGTAATATTAAATAAAATGTTTTAATTTAAGCTAATTTTGATTATATTATGAACATCTCATTATAGATTAAATTTCAATTGTGAAACTTACAAATACATCTAGTTTTGAAAATGTTCACAGTATCTAATGACTTCTCAGCAATGAACTGTTAGTATGCAGCATTAGACTGCCACAGCTTCCTAAAAGCAAAACCAAACCCCGAAAAATGCATCACCCTGTTCTGAAACTACCTTTCTAAAGATGCATTTGCATAGCAAGCATTTTTTAAAGCCTTTAAATATTTTTAGAATAAGGAAATAGATAAAAAATGCTTTCCTTAAAACAGCTGCTGCAGAAGTCTCTCGAACTCCACATACATATATGTAGATGTAATAAATATAGATATACGTCACAGAAAAAGTACTGAACTTTTCTTTCCTCAAACATAAAAGGTCTTAAATTTGCATAAATGTAGCAGTAAAGAACTGCAAGAAAAACTATTTTGCATCCTTGTTTATAGCAAACCTCAAACGACAATTTTAAGGCACTTGATAGTTCTTGTGAACAGTTAGAGCAATAGAGTAAACATTACTTTTTCATGCTGCACTCAATGTCATACTAACTGAAAAATCTACACCTCAGTGAAAGAACCACCAGCACCTAGGTAGACAATGGCATCTACAAGTTTCAGATGATACTTATAAATCAGTTTTCAATTCATTCTTGGATTGAAAAAGCTGCAATTTATCAAAAACAGCGATCGATTTTCACACTTCTTAACTTCAGTTACAATTAGCTGTAAAGCCCCATGGATTAAAATTGGATACATTCAAGCACTACAGTTAATTACTCTTAAAGAGAATGATTCCTTTTGACATTCATTAGAACTCCATGGAATAACTTTAAATTATGATTATGCTTTTTGATCAACATTGAATGGGTTGTCTTTTGACAAAGTAAATGATTGGTAAGACACAAACGTCATCATTTGTTCACAGACATGGGGTAAGTATGAAAATGTTAGTCTTAGGGAATGTATCCCACTTAGTATCTGATGTACTGGTAGTTGCTTCCTGTAGAGTACACTCTTCAGTGCTCTTGCAAAGCTGCTCCTGACCTTTTGGTGTTGGCCACACGATCACTCTTTGTTTTGGTAACAGCCTAAGCTTCTAACCTACACTAACCACGTGACGATAATGTACATGGATGGATTACTTTCCCCTAAAAAAAAAAAAAAAAAAAAAAAAAATCTATTTCCTATCATCAATTCTCAAATTTCGTGCCTAGACACATAATTACCACCACCGCCTCATCTCCAACTTCTCCCAGCCAATTCAGTCTTTACACCTTGCAATTCAAGCTGTTTGTGCTCACAACTGCCCTCTCAGCAAGGCAGGCACACAAACATGTATGTGTGCCTTCTGAATGTGCTGGGCAGCTCCAATTGCAAATCCATGGCGGACCACTACACAAAAGAGAAGAAGTACGTTCAATTCCCTACACAAATAATGGGAAAGACAGGGAATGATGAATGATGGAACATTACAGCTGTTGAAGCAGACAGGACCCGCTCCGGCGTGCTCACCAGGCACAAGATGAACAGTCATAAGACAACGCAAGGAGGAAGCAGGGAAGTGTGTGTGCCGTGCCAGGATCTCCCAACTGGAAATCGTGCCCAGAGGCCCTTTCCAAACGCACAGTTCCTTCTCACGTACCCTAGTTCTCTGCTTTCCAGACACGGAGTGGAAAAGAAGAAGTTCACAGACGATCTTTAAAAGACGTAAATCTCTAAGCAGGATCACACAGGCTTCTCTGATGTAAGCTGTACCTGACCAGGGTCCCTGACACGAAAAGAGGGATGAGGCCTGGCAGCATCCCAGTGCTCACAGACTCAAGCTCAGAAAGAGGTAGCTGATACTCTTCACCACGATCCATGCTGTGTTCCTCAGGATCACAATCTTCAATTTGAGGACCACCATATTAGTAACACAACAAAATAATTAAAAGATCACACATAACAGCAAGTATCCTCTTGTACCATCAAAACTAGCTAAATATTTCACTTCCAAACAATTTTGTAATTCTGATGTTCTGAAGATAACAGAAGTGTATTATCTTAGAAGCCTTCACAGCAGATAACTATAAATCCAGTGACAGGTACAACCACAGCACAGAAAGGCAGACAGATGCTTTCATCCTACTACCATAAGGAAGACAGATAGATCTACACTCTGCAACAGCTGTGCTGGCAGAAAACATTACTGTACCATGTGATCATCACTCTTCTTCCACTAGAGGTTACCTTTCTTAAAGATATGTCAAAACATGCAGAATTAACTTAAACACTTCGAAGTAGGGAGCCCTTCTACACTGTTTTATCTTCAATGCAGCAGGTCATGGAGCACAGATCTGTTAGCCAAGCTACCAGAGCAAACGTAATGAGTAACAGCACAGATAAACAAAAGTTTATCTGTGCTGTTACTCATTTATAAACTCATAGCTCAGAAGTCTGTTAACAGGCTAGGAAACTGTGTACCATCCTGCCAGAAATTACTAATAAATGTTCTTTATTTGCATTGAAGCCATACTGCTGCACATTTACTGTAGAAGTTACCCACACTAACTAAAGAAGATTTGCATAGTTGCTACAATTTTGTCCTCAGTTCATTAGGTCGTTACAAATTTGGGGCTGGGGAGGGCAGTTCAGCACATTCAGTTCATTTACGCTTAACTTTGAAGTGCGTCCAGTGTTTAATGATTGAAAATAAAAAGCACTTCCCACTGTGAAAGTCCCTTACAGAAAACTAGGAATGTGAGGTAGGATCTTTATAAGCAAGTCTGTGACTTCAAAGCATAAGACACCTTCAAGCTCAAGAGGATTTATGCCCTCAGAATCACAATATAACTTTAAAAAAATATCATCATGTTTGTGTAATTTTTTACTACAAGATACTACCCTGCCAGTTGGCTGCTACAGTGAAGCGACAACCCAGCCATTTACCTGAGAGAGCAACTTTTGCTCGACATGCCATCCGGTCCTTTGTCCCAGCGTCTGACAACCTAACAAAATAGGAAAAAAGAAAAAAGATTTTTAAAAGTCAGAGATCTGTGCATTTAGGTCACTGTAACTCAGTCTTTTAAACATTAAAAAACATCAGGGGTACCATATAATAGCTCATTTCAAAGAATTTTCTTTAAAGTTAAATTCGGTCTCTCTGCTTTAGGATACGAGTTATTAGATTCTCGAAGATAATACGGAAGGAAGGTACACCATCAATTTTCTTAATGCCCTACAAGATTTTATTCCAAAGCTTATTTAACCCGCACATTAGAAGTCGATTCATCTTTGATGTCTTTTCCAGCTCCAACAGAATCAAATACATTATTAACTATTCTCCTTCTGTACACACGAACGAACAAGCAGCTTCATTTATTGGTCCTACTGTTGGTTGCAGAGAAATGCATCCTCCTCTATTAACAGAGACCAATTACAAAACGTGTTGTTAGAATTGTGGTTTTACATGCAGGCTGGAATGGCTAGAGTGCAAATCTCAGCCTGAACCTTAAATTGAATCAAAATAATCTATTGACAATGACTAACGGAAATCCTTCTGCCTGCCACTGCTCAAAGTGCCTAACCGAATCAGGTTCTAATCACCACCTGTATCATGACTTCGTCAGAAATAACAGATCGCAGACGTAAGAAAGAAGGACAATGTTTATTTGAAAGCCCAAAACACTTCCAGAATTTTCTCTCTCAGACATCATCATCTTCTCTGGATTAAGTTTTAATAAAATTCCAGTACTCTATAAGTACCAAAAGAAAGAATTGTGAGTGTACTATCAAGTGCACAATCAAAGATAAGGTCTAAATGATAGACAAACAACCCTACGACATGTATCTGTCCTAACGATCTTTGCTGACTACTGAAAGGACCCCGTAAAGACACAGCTCCAAGCTGAGCGAATTAAACAACACAGCCAACTTTAAGAAAACTCCACCAGGCTTGTTTAGACTGGAGGAGGCTCAGGGGAGACCTTATTGCCCTCCACAACTACCTGAAAGGAGGTTGTTGCAAAGTGGAGGTCGGCCTCTTCTCCCAAGTAGTGACAGAACAAGAGGGAACGGCCTCACTCTGTGCCAGGGGAGGTTCAGGATAGAAAATAGGAAAAACTTCTCTGAAAGAGTGGTCAGGCTCTGGAACAGGCTGCCTTAGGGCTGGTGGAGTCACTGCCCCCAGAGGTGTTCGAGAACCGTGTAGACTTGCTACTAAGGGACATGGTTTAGTGGGCAATATTGGTGGTAGGTGGGTGGTTGGACAGGATGGATGATCTTAGAAGTCTTTTCCAAACTAAATGATTCTAAGTTTCTGTGCCGTGTTATAGACATGTGCCATCCTGTGGTCACAGACATTAAAGACCAAGAGTCGTGTAAATCAGCACACATATATATTCCATGTCAATCCATCATTAAAAATATAAGACAAATCACTATAAAGATCATCACTTCATAAGAAGAAGCAACACAACTGTAATATACAAATCACAATGCTAGCTTTCAAAATCAGCTTTCATGACCACAGTTGACAGTCAGAAAATGCAATTCTCTCCTTTAATAAATTTCTTCTGTAATAAAACATTTCTGAAAGCAAGAAACTAGCAGGTTTTTCCTACAGATACAATTCACTGGAGCTAAGCATGTACTTGAGGAGTTTCTACACTGAACTGCAGTACAGTTATTTCATTAAAGCAATAACCTGAATGCAGTAGTGTCTCTGCTCCACGATTCATAACATGGCCCCCAAAATCTATTCCATTGGGGAAAAAAATAAAACGCTTATCCAAATAAACAGTGTATACGTTAGTTCATTCAAGAAATATGAGAATATGGGTAATTAAACAGACTTTTCTTACTATTCATGAAGTTGTACTTTTACTCTTTTGATGTAGTTAACAAAGTGGCCAGCAGAGGGTACCAATTAGCCATGATAATTCTGTCATTAAAGAGACCTTATGAATAGAAAGAACAAAAAACAGATGCATGTATTTTGATTGGGATAATTTTGTCTTGTTCCTTAAGAACAGGTTAGATACCTTTTTATATGCTAAAGGTAATCAAGAAAATATGTCTATGACATTAGCTGATATTCATAAGCTGAATTTGCTTAATGTCAATGATAAAATCTGTCCAGAAAAAAGATGACTCGCATTTAATTTCCTAAAATAAAAGGAAGATATTGGAATGGTCTTATAAAGCACTGACTTACAGCAACAACACGCATGTGTATGGTGGAAAACAATTCACATACACAAAAGCCCATTTTGTAATGGTCAGTCTGAATTAGTTTTTACTCACCACTTTCCAGTTCTGCATGAGACAGGCCCTTCCATTTGGTTCTGCAGCTCTGTCCTGTATGCATGTATCCGTGCATTGCAGACCATCAGGTTTTTAACTGCTTGCAAAAGCTGGTCTTTCTGTGTGCTCACTGTAAGCAGTTTACGGATGCCTTCCCGTATGCGGATTTCAAAGTTCATCTTTTCTTGGATGTTGTGTTGCTAGATATGCAAAACAACAAAGACAACACATAAAGCCAACTGACAGTACCCTGACTTTTTAAGGAGTCCTATTTATGATACAGTTGGGATCCAGAGTCCTAGTTAAATTATATGCAGCCATTACAGTTACTACTAAACACAAAATAATTCTCTCTCTACACACAAAAGAGAATATTATCAAACTGATTTGATATATACATTATGCAAGCAGATTTCAAACCACGTGCTAACAGCAGTTCACCACAGCATCTGAAATTTACTAAAAAACTATGTGGTCCCATGAGTCATTTACAGGGTGACAGTAGATGGTCCTCCCATATGGTCACTGTGAGGCCTAACTCAACAAAGCTTACAGAATAACATTTTTTTTCAATGATTTCAAGTAAAATAATCTTAACACTCAGGAATATCATGTCAATAATTTATTTCAAAATATCTGAAATATTCCAAATCTGAAATTTTGTCTTATTACTTCTTTGGCTACCTCGAAAAGGGTTGAAAAACATGATTTTTCACTTCTGGTTGACATACGATTTGGGTAACAACCAGATGTGAAGAAAAGGAGAATATCCCAATGTTTGATTGCCTCAGGTTGTGAACTGGAGATCAGATGGTGCTTGTGTCATGCTGAAGTTACAACTATGTCTTGCCTGATGGCACAGTCACGCACCCGATGATTATTCATTCCAAAGTACAATTTGTCCATCAGTCACTGCATCACTATTTCTGAAGGAGTATTTTTAATGTATTATAACAACATCTGGGAATTCATCTTCTTCCTGGTTCAAGAAACGCTTATAAATTTGCATTATTCTTCACTTGCCATTTCAAACAGCTCTATCCATACTGACCCAGAAGGTGAATGACCATTGATTGCTTGCTGCCTCCAAAGGTGTGCTAGATGCCATGCGATAACTTTCCTCATGATGTGCCCTGACCAAGCACAATATTTCTGGCACATAAAAAAAGATACGTTATCACAGTAGTACTGTGATAACCCAGTACTACTTGGCTTGCAAACACATTGCAGACCAGTGATGAGGGGTTTTTTTGACACTGGGGAATTGTTTCAGAATTGAAAACATCATCTATTTTCACCCACATAGCGCTTATACATTTGATGTCAAAACAAGTGCTCTGGGATAGATCTATAAGCAATTGCCTGAAATTGGTACAATAATTTGAATTTGCAAGTTCAGTATTCCAGCTGGTATAAAAGTACTGGCAACTGGCTCTAACTAGAACAGAAATAGAAGGGAATTAATTTCCCAACAACTCAAGTACCAGAGAAATCTACAACCCATGAAAGGGGTGAGGCAGATTTTCTACTTGATTGGGACTTGCTGTCATTAGCTGCCTTTGACATGAGAAAGCAACTCTTTATAGCAGTCACAAGCAGCAGGTGGAAGCTCACTGCAGCCACCAGCCATTCCCTCCTGTCTTTGCAGGAATGGCTTTTATTGCTTCTGAAGGCCTGATGCCATCATCTGAAGAGACTTAATGTTTCAGCTGTTCTTCCATCTGCTCACAGAACATTTCTCTTTGCAAACCACCCCCATTTGCCAACCCTAAAGGAAAAGCAGCTCTGGTCCATAAGCCACGTTCAGCACAGCACAGCCCAAGCTGAAACACTATATATTTCTAGCCACTTCAGAACCCTTCTGCAGTCTAGGCCTCTTGTTCTATTTACCAACCCTTCTGCTAGAGACAGCAGCTTCATTTTTGTTGAAATGGGACCAAGTGCCATACAAAATCTCCTTCTCCTATACCTCAACACAGCAAGTCACTAAGCCTACATACATAAGCACAGTTTCCCGTTTTCCTCAAGTAACAAAGGAAGTGTTTGTTTTTGTTTTTCCCCCGAGATGCTGAATATCTCAGACTTGTGTAATTCAGCAAAAGCAGGACAAATATATGTTCCACTGAATTTGATTGTGCTTAAGACAACTAAGAGGCACGCTGAGAACACAATGAAGACCAAGGCACCATCACAAGGCATAACACTTGAGACGTGCATAGGTTACTTCAGCCTAGGCCCTCCAGCACCAGTGGGCTATTTGGTGGTGAATGCCTTCCAAAGCTATCATCATCATATTGGTGGAAGCTCTACTGGAATTCTCTACAGCTGACAGAGGAAGACCTAGAAAGGCACCAGCAGATCATTTTCATAGAATCATGAGCTGGAAGGAACCCTTAAAGGTCACCTTGTCCCAACTCCCCTGCAATGAACAGGGACACCTACAGCTCCATCAGATTGCTCAGAGCCTGGTCCAGCTTGATCTTGAATATCACAAGGGATGGGGCATCCACCACCTCTCTGGGCAACATGTGCATGCACCTCCTCCCTTATAATAAAAAATTTCTTCCTTAAATCCAATCTAAATCTCCCCTCCTTTGGTTTGAAACCATTCCCCCTTGTCCTATCACAACACCCCTGCTAAAGGGTCTGTCCTCTTCTTTCTTATGGCCCCACGTTAGATACTGAAAGTCTCCCTAGAGCCTTCTCTTCTGCAGGCTGTACAGCCCCAGCTCTCTCAGCCTGTCCTCCTAGGGGAGGTGTTTCATCCCTTGTATGACTTTTGTGGCTCTCCTTCGGATGCGCTCCAACATGTTCATGTCTCTCCAGTACTGAGGACTCCATCTGGAGTACTGTGTCCAGTTCCGGAGCACCCAGTACAAGAAAGACAGGGAGCTGTAGGAGAGGGTCCAGAGGAGAGCCACAAAGATGATCAGGGAACTGGAGCACGTCCCCTACAAAAACAGGCTAAGGGAGCTGGGTTTGTTCAGCCTGGAGAAAAGAAGGCTGCAGGGTGACCTCATTGCAGCCTTTCAATACCTAAAGGAAGCCTACAGAGGGGAGGGGAATCAACTCTTTGAAAGGGCAGATAACTGCAGGACAAGGGGAAATGGTTTTAAGTTGAAGGATGGAAGATTTAGGTTGGATGTCAGGGGGAAGTTCTTTACAGAGAGAGCGGTGAGGTGCTGGAACAGCTGCCCAGAGAGCTTGTGGATGCCCCATCCCTGGAGGTGTTCAAGGCCAGGCTGGATGGGGCCCTGGGCAGCCTGGTCTAGTATTAAATGGGGAGGTTGGTGGCCCTGCATGTGGCAGGGGGGTTGGAGGTTCATGATCCTTGAGGTCCCTTCCAACCCTGGCCATTCTGTGATTCTGTGACTCCACCTGTGGACACAGTACTGCAGGTAGGTTTCACCAGACAAAGCAAAGGGGCAGGATCACCTCCCTCACCCTGCTAGCCACGCTTCTTTTGATACAGCCCAGGATATGGTAGGCTTTCTGGGCTGCAAGGCCATGTTGCTGGCTCCTGTCCAGCTTGCCATCCACCAGTACCCCCATTGGCAGGGCAGTGCTCTATCCTTTCTTGCCCCAGTTTGTACTGACAGTGGGGCTTGCCGCTACCCAGGTGCGAGACCTTGCACTGGGATTTGTTGCAGCTCATCAGGTTCACCTGGGCCCCCTGCTCAGGCTTGTCCAGGTCTCTGAGTGGCGCTCATCCCCCAGGGGTTGAGCAGATCACACCACACGGCTTGGTGTCATCCACAAAGCTGCTGGGAACGCACTGGATCCCAGAGTTGCTGGTGATGAAGGTGTTAAGGAGCAGCGATCGCAGCACCAACCCCTGGAGAGCACCGTACCGTCTCCGCTCTCGTTATAGGAGGAGAAGCAAAATAGTTTACAGCAACGTTTTATTCCCAGTCCAACTTTGCGCAGCCCAGAAAGGCTGAGCAAGGCCCGCATCTGTCCCTAAGAAGCCACGACTCGTTCCTTGAGCCTAAGCTAACGCACCAGACATCGCGAAGCAGAAACCCATCGCACAAGTCCCCCAAACGCACAGCCGTCTCCCCGCGGGTACGGCAGCCGGGCTGCCGCGGCAGCACGCGGACAGGAACACGCGCGAGGCCCCGCAGCTCCCGACCGCCCCGCTCCATCCCGCCCCTCCTCGGCGGCCCGGCGTGGTGCCCGCGCCTCACCCGCTCCGCGCCCGCAGCTCCCGACCCGTGCCGCTGCATCCTGCATCCTCCTCGGCAGCGCCGCCGTTCAAAACTCCCGCCCTCCGCAACGGCCGCCCCACCGCCCCGCCCCGCGCGTCCCGAGCAACGGCTGTGGCGGAACGGCCTGCCCGCGCCGCGCGCTCTGGCAGCGCGGCTGCTCACGGAGCTGCTCGGCAAAACGGCTTGCGCGGCTGCTATGAAAGCACTGAGAAGGACACGCTGTGCCCAGCCCATTTCAGGCCATCACCTGAAGACGGTTTTGGTTTTTTTTGTACCGACAGCTCCCTGCAATCTGTGGCAGCTTTCCAAGAAGTGTAGATGCTAATTAAACTGATTTTGCAGTACGGTCTGTTCAGCAAATCCTCGCCTTAGTAAGTCCCAGAATGTGACTGCTAACAGTGCAAGGAGCCCGTGCCTGCAGCCCTTGCACATTTCTACTGACGCTGAGCTGCGTTGGAACCCTTCAGAAAGCAGTGGGAGTTACACTAGTGGCACTCGGCCCTAATTAACGCCAACAGTCCCCAAGCTGGGTGCCTATCTGCTCCTGCACTTTGGTTCTGCTTTGCATTCACTTACTAGAGGCATTGGTTTTTCTCCTTATAAGATCAAGCCTTGTGATTCATTTGATCTGCCAGATGCTCGATTAAAAAAATAATAGAATCATAGGATCGCTCAGGTTGGAAAAGATGTTAAAGATCATCGAGTCCAACCACAACCCAACCATACTACCCTAACTCTAACAACCCTCTGCTAAATCATCTCCCTGAGCACCACAACCAAATGGTTTTTAAACACATGCAGGGATGGTGACCCAACCACCTCCCTGGGGGGACTATTCCACTGCTTAACAACCCTTTCTGTAAATAAGATTTTCCCGATATCCAACCTAAATTTACCTTGATGCAACTTGAGGCCATTTCCCATGAATGAATGAAATATTTCACCCATCTCCCAGCCCCTCCTCTCCAGAAAAAGTGAGGCTGAGGCTTTAAGCTGACTTTCTGCAGGGGCTGCGTTCGGCAGGACGCCCTCCCTGCACACAGAACCCACAGCCAAGGGTGCCCTGCTGCTCTCACACCGACCTCAAGCAAAGATGGCTTTGCGCCATCTCCATTACCTGGAGACTCGGGAGCCAGCTGGCCGCTATTCTGCTCCCTCAGTTTCAAAGGGACTCCAGCAGATAGCAGTGGAAGCCCTGACGCTGTATTCTCCTCTCCAGACCACACTGAAGGGCTCCAACACCGGAGGGCACGACGCCCCTACTGGGGCTGTGCCCCGAGCAGAGCAGTCCGGAGCGGGCGGGGTGAGCAAAACGCAGCCTGCCTCCTGGGGTTGCTCAAGAGAAGGATTTTTTTCAGCTGAATCCCGCCTTCACACATCCTTTATTTGCCACATTATTTGCATTGCAAAGCATTTAGCTTCCTTCTAACATCAGGGAAACTGGATAGCAGAGGGAAGATCATTGTCTGCCTAAATCACCCCTTCTCTTGAGCGTTACATCAGCATATTATTTTAAATGTGAGGCCCATCATTTTGGTTTAGCAGGTACAAAATGTCTACACCTACTCTCGACAGCGCTGCAATATTTTTCTTAATTTCTTGGTTCCCACAGCTTGCTACACCTACTCCTTGAATATCATCAGAGCATGCCAGTAGAAATTATTCAATTCCTATTTAGGTTTCACCTAGATGGAAATATAGGAAGATTTGTACTGGATGCCTCAAAAAGAATTTGCAAGGCTTTTAATAACTGGTTTCTACTGAGTTCTTTTTAAATTGAAAAGCAAACCACTGGTTAACATGGCAGAAACTCTGGAATTTAGGGTGTTTATCTGCACATTTACTGGAGACAGGGCTAACCTAAAAGGCACAGCTGTTACTTCTGTTAACTAGTTCCCTCATTTCAGCCAGCTGAGGTCACTTAGAGTCTTCCCAATGATTTATCTGGACAGAAAGCCAACATTCAGTTCTACAAAACAACTTAAACAAGGTTACTACCTTATTGTCTTGCATTTCTGCTTCAGTTTTTACTCGTTAATGTGATAATTTTCACATCGTCCAGCCAACAGCAATAAGCTACCACCTAATCCTGCTAAGGTTTCACAGAAGCAAAGCCTGAAGGCTGCATTTCACCTGAGCAGTCTGAAAGTAGGCATCTTCTCTAGGGCAGTCATAGACTCAGCCAATGAACATAGCATCCTAAAATATGCAAGTGCCTAAATTATTTAGGATACATCATCCATACCTTTCTCTGACAATTAGACACAGAGGCCAAAGTAGCTAGCATAAGCGCTTATTTCAGGTTTACACAGATTAGGCTTACCTTGAGAGCTTCTTTATCTTCTGTTCTAATTTCATTTTTAAATGTTTTGCAGCCCTCATTCTGCTCCTCCAGTGTTCCAAATGGCACTGGGGTTACCTCTCTGTGTGAAGCTTTATTCTAATATTTATGGCACCATTAACAAAACAGAGATGCCACAAACAAGGTGCCACAGTGAGCTATTTTGGTGAAAACTTCATATTCCCACTGGATTTCCAAAAGAAACAGTAAAAACTTTTTTTTCAAATCCTTGTTTTGAAAAAAAAAAAGGAATTGGTTTTCTTTTTTTCCAGATAAGAGTCCAGAAACCATCTCTGCCCAGTATTCCTTACATCAGTCCCATCTTGAAGTGCCTCCCTACTAAAATACTTCAGCCTCTTAAAGACACCATATGTGGGATAAATGCACTCCAAGTATGTTTTGTAACAGAAATCACAAGTTACAAAAACTCCACTGCCATGTGAATTTGGGAAACAATTTCTGAGTTCAAACCTGAGAACATTAAAAGTTAAATGACACCATGTGACTTCAAACTCCAGTTTCGTGATCCTCCATGTTTTCAAGATGCTCATGCACAAACAAGTTATAAACACAGCTGAGGTAGACCAGTCCCAGGTATTCCTCTGTTTCTGCCTGAGAGACCCAGGGCACTGGTTTTGAAGTTGATTCAGCTGTAGTCCTCATGCAGGTGGCAAAGTCACGTTCCTCAGAAGCGTCCTGTTGGACAATGATCCTCACAGGTGGTTGGCAGCTTCAACTAGAAGCCTTCCTCCAGCTGAGAAGTCGCTGAATTCGTGGGCACAGTGTCTAACAAAGCATAAGATTAGCAGCCTTTCCTTACTTTTACTAATTTATGTCTCCTTTTCAATATGATTTCCTATCTTCACAGAATTTGAAGGATGTAAATTAACTTTAATTCCTTTCAAACTCAATGTTGGCTGAAACTGGCTACTTGGATCCATTGCTAGTATGGGGACTTTTACATGCACACACAAACTGTGGTCATAGTAAACTCAGAGAGGTCCTGTTCACTGCTCAATATTAGAAGGATATTCAGTATTAAAAGACTTTCTAAGAGATTCTGTGCTGTCACTTCCATATCATACCCGGGTTTCTGTTGGGCATACAGTCCTGCTTTGATTTCTGATGTATTTACTGCATGTGACATCTGGTGTGTAAAATGCCCTCTCCGTGACAGTTGCATCCAAACATTGGCTGGGCAGCCTGCTGGTGAAGTCACCACTTTGTGCTACAGGAGAATCTCACACAGCATTTCATGTTCCACTTTTAGCATCAAGTTTGTTATGATTTTTCCATCTTGCATGTGCAAGTGAAAAGCCACTGGATCATTTAAACAGTTTGTCATGTCAAATTTGAAACAGAATAAGTTTCAAAGTGCTCTGAGAATATTGCAAATCTAAAGATAAACTCCTATATGAGAAAATCGTGACAGAAAGCACTTACCCTTTGTTACCCACAGAACCACCATCTATTTCTGGGAGAACAGTTGTAAGCCGCTTCTGACAATAATCGCGCAGTAAAAAGGAGATTCTCCATCTAACTCAATTGCAGGGCTGTTGTCTGAAGGTGCATACAAGCTGAGTATTTGCAGATGGTCTTCCTTTTTTTTTTTTTTAATTTAAACACAATGTAGAGGATCTCTGAAGTCCACAACACAAAGCAAATAGTCTCTGAAGTGAGTTTGTCATTTGGCCTGATTTTTTCCAAGTACCAGAATATAGACATCTAAGGAGTGAGGAATGGCAGAGCTATGTGATGTTGAGGCTGAGCATCATCAGGTACCAGGTGGGCAGCCACAGGCGTTGGAGTTCCCTCAGTGCTGCAGTACTGCTACAGTACTAACTAGGGACTATCCCTTAGCTAGGCACGTTTTGAGCCAACAGCTGCCATCCCAAATAACTGAGTCAAAATAGCCCAATTGGAAGGCCCGGCAAAACCACAGCAAATCAGCACTATTTCTTTGCATTTCATACATTTCTAGGCTGTTTTGATCCTGTCTCGGGGAGGATATTTAAAGGGGCATGGATAGGAACCTAAGTTTACTACAAGTGTTTGCTTTGTCCTAAGCAGCGTTTCTCACCAGTATACCATTGGTTCACCTCAACAGTTGCCCAGTTAAACACAGGGCTGCAAGTGTCTATTGCTTTGTAACACTTCCTGCTACAAAACTCTCTTTTCTTCTGCTCTTTTCTAACTCTCCATTGGGTACTGGTTACTTTCATCAATCTGATCAGGCCAAGACAGGAAGGATTAAGGCAAATGTTATTTCAGAGCATGAAAACAACTCAGTTAAAACCAAAGAAAAAAACATTACTACCAACATAAATTTTAAAAGGCACATAACAACTGTCTGTCCATGGAAATTTCTATCGCAAGTTTTAAACCTCTGGTCCTCAAGGAAAACATCATTTGCAGTTATGTCCTATTTCTCAATGAGATGGAGCACAAGAAATCATTGAGCAATCATCTGCTCGGATGCTTATATGAAAGAAATAAACCTACGGGAAAAACAAGGGGATTTAAATGTTTAGAAGCACCAGTTTTCCATTCCAAGCGTTCCCAGTTCCTTGTCTCCACCAAACTTCCTCCTAAACCCGAGTATTTTCTCCTGCCACTAACAGCTGGAGACAAGGTAGTGCTCTCCTCAGCTGTACTGGAGTTACGAGGCCAAGCAGAG